TCAGTGTGGTGACAATGCAGGAATGTGACTCACCCAGGGCGTGGGAGAGAAGGGGGCAATGTCATCCAATGTGATGGACTGATGTAACCATGTGTTACCATAGAACATTCAAGAACGATTTAAGGGGCTGGGAAGGTGGCTCAGTGGTAGAGTGCTTGCCTTGCATGCATGAGGCCCTGGGTTCAATTCCTCAGCACCACATAAGCAAAAAGAAAAAAGCCGGAAGTGGCACTGTGGCTCAAGTGGTAGAGTGCTAGCCTTGAGCTGAAGAGCTGAGGGACAGCGCCCAGGCCCAGAGTTCAGGACCCACGACCAGAGCCCCCCCCCAAAAAAAGAACAATTTAAATAATCAAATTACATGTGATAGTCCTTGTGACATTAAGTACTTGGAATAATTTTTGCTTTTGTGTGTTCCTGCCATTCAAAATGGTCCCTCAGCCAACTAAAATGCAGAAGGAGATGTTCCTTCAGGCAAACACTCAAAAGTACATATTTGCATAAAAATTTGACCACCATGTTTTTCATATTTTGATATGTGTTTTGCTTCTTGGATAATTATTCCTTATTCGGACACTGTGATATATTTACCTCTTTTCTAAATTTTTAATTAGTGTTTACTTAGTATGGACATCTTCTTTTTCATACAGCTCATATTATTTCAGAAGAGCAGTAATGAAACTGCAAATGCATCTAACTTTTATAATTATTAAATTAAATTTTGAAGAATTACTTTCACAGCAAGAGGCAACTAGTTCTTTCCAATGTAAAATGTTCAAATTAGGAAGAGAGAAAGGAAGTGGAGAGACAGAGAGAAATGTTTCTGGAAGAGATCTTTTTTTTCCTTGTTATTTTTAATCCGAATAAAACTAGGGATATTTTATTACCCTATGAAGGGATCTGTCTACACAGGATTAAGAACATTAGTTAGTGTTTCTATTGCATAATTTCTAATACGCCATGTTATTCATTGTCCCAACATTAACTTGGTCAAGGGATTTCTCATAAATATGTATGAATTCTTCTGTCTCCTGCAGCATTTAGTACAAAGGCTGTATTTGTTAATGACAAAGCTGACCTCAGCCACTAAATTCCCCTGTGAAGGATGCAGCCAGCTCATGAGAGGTCGGAATGGATCTTAGGACCTGGGCACACCTGCAGAGGACCAGGTGCAAGAGCAACCAAACAGGGCTGAACTGAAGCCAGACAGGTTTCTCCTCTTGTCTATTGAACAGCTTCTTCTGAGTAAAGGCCAAAATGTTATCTGACACTGGTAACATTTTCGTCATTTCTGACATTAAATTAGAATGACCAGCATTTTTGACAAATTTACTTTTGTACCCATCTTTGTTGGAACATATAACCAGAATAATAATAACTGATGCCCAGAGCAAGAGCCATTTTTGTAAAAGATAACAAATGAAGGCATTTTGTTCTCCTTTTTCATCCTTAATTAGATTTCTTCTATTTGAAGATCTTATTCTTTTTTTGCTCTTATCCTCATCATGGGTCTTTTCTGATTCTGTATTAGATCCTTCCACTTCATTCTCCTGGCCATTTGCAAGGTTGGCCAGTTGTCATACTGCCTGTGCCTCAGCATTATTTCTCTAGTGACAAGGAAGGAAATAGAACTGCCTTAGCCGGGCACCCATAGCTCTCACCTGTAATCCTAGCTACTCAGGAGGCTGAGATCTGAGGATTGCGGTTCAGAGCCAGCCCAGGCAAGAAAGTCCACGAAAATCTTATCTCCAATAAACTACCAGAAAACCAGAAGTGGCGCTGTAGCTCAAATGGTAGAGCGCTAGCCTTGAGCTATAAGAGCTGAGGGACGCCCACTGTCAGGCCCAGAGTTCAAGCCCCATGACCAACCAAAAAAAAAAAAAAAACCTGCCTGATTCATGGACATTGAAATCTGTGAGCATTTGGCCTAAAAAGTTAGAAATGGTTGCACAGGGGACTCTGAGGCATGCGTAAAAACTGTGACAGAGACGGAATCTTACAGGAACGCCCACAAACCTCAAATAGTGCTTGTAAGCCTCACCCAGGTGCACCTACTTATCATTTTACTAACCATGTTGCGTAAGTAGAACTAACGTTACCGTGTATCTGTCCAGATGTGCTTCATAAATTATGAGCCTATGCACAGAACATTATTTTGAAAGGACAGATTTATTAAAATTGTTACCAGGTATTTTTTTTAATCAGAACAATTTAATTTTATAATTTCACAAATAGTTCTGTGTAATAACTAGATAATGTTTTATCTGATTGATTCTGTCATGGAATCTGAGCTATGAATAACATATTATTGAAGCTCTGTGGACTTATCATTTCTGTTCTTCATGTTTTCAGTATCACATGTATTTAAAATTTCTAGTGCAGACAAAAAGCCATTGATTTTTAATAACTCTGTCTTAATAAAAGCAATAATCTTGGATAATCAAGATACAACTACATCCAAGGGTGAGAAAGTCTGGCCAGTAGGCCATTTAAGGTCATCGAAATTGTTTTTTTGTAAAAGGACAGACATATATGCTTCTTGTTGGCTATCTATGGTGATGTACTTTTATTAATAATTTTGCACAATCCTACAATGGTGTTATAAATATCTAAATGGTCTTTGGCAGAAAAAAGTTTCACTAAGTTTCCAGAGTGCAATCAAAGGCCTTGGCTTAGTGGAATATCAGCTAGATGATGATGAGCCAGGTGAGGACAGTGTTGGACTTGGAAGTGACTCTTGGTAACTTATGACAGCTTCTGTAGAACCCAAGTCTGACAGCTCTCTGGATCAGTTATACCAGAAATAAGCAATCATGACACACATGTTCACATGGTTGTTCCGGCACCAGACATATGACCTCTCTGCCCCTGTGTGCTCAGAGCTTGGGTGGAGAGTCGTCCTATTCAGTGACAGATTTAAGGCCTCCCCATTCCTTATCAAAACCTGCTCTAGTGAAAAGTGTGAAGTGTAGATGTGCCTTCTGAATTGCCAGGGGTTAAGGAGTTCAGCAGGAGTCCATCAGGTTGATGGTCTTCTGAACTAACCAGCATTCAAGGCCACTTACTTCAAACTTGTTAACAGGCTTACAGAAAAATGAGGACAGTGCTCAGGAAAATCTATCCAAGAAGCAGATCTGAACCATGCTGTCTCCATCACTGGATCCTCTATACACTGTACATATGTTATCCATCGTTTATATTGGGACCATAGTGAGGAAGAGGAAGGAAAAACTTAATGTGTTGTTGCTTTCTTTTGCTTTCAATAGTGTTGTCCAAAGAAATTGACAGCAAATAGATTCTTGGTCACTAAAATGTTTCTGAGAAGTATCATGTTTTATTCATTGAAATAAGAGGAAAAGTTAACATTTATAAACCCTGTCCCTAGTGCCCTCTGCAGTTCCTTTAAAACTTAGCATGAGATCAGGAGGCAGGCACCATGGTGATCCTCATTTTGGAGGTGAGGAAATCAAGACCAGAGAGAATATTTAACACTAATAATAATAATAACAATAATAACTATTGTAATTATTATGGATGCCTGATTTTTTTTAATTTTTAAGATTTTATTATAAAGGGTATGTACAGCGGGATTACAGTTACTTATATAGGCTGACTGTTTACCAATCTAACCATCTTCCATCCTATGCTGGTCTTATTTTCTTGTTGTATTGACCTTTAGCATATTATAATATGTATGTCTTGGGCTGGGAAGGTGGCTCGGTGGTAGAGTGCTTGCCTTGCATGCATGAGGCCCTGGGTTCCATTCTTCAGCACCACATAAGCAGAAAAGACAGAAGTGGCGCTGTGGTTCAAATGGTAGAGTGCTAGCCTTGAGCTGAAGAGCTGAGGGACAGCACCTAGGCCCAGAGTTCAAGCCCTAGGGCTGGCAAAAAAAAAAAGAAAACTGAAGTGATGCTGGGGCTCAATGTGATAGAGTACTAGCCTTGAGCAAAAGAGCTCAGGAACAGAGCCCAGGCCTTGAGTTCAAGCCCCAGGACTGACAAAAGGAAATGCTATTGTACAGTACATACAATATAAAGAGTCTCAAAGCATTATATATATATATATATATATATATATATGAAGTGAAATGAGTCAGAAAGATGAATACTGCATAATTACACTGACATAGAGTGTCTAGACTGATCTAAACCATGGAAATAGGAAGTAGAAAGGGAACTTCCAGGCTGGACAGAGGGAGAAATAAGTTCTTGTTCAATTGGTACAGAGTTTTTGTTTTGTAAAATAAAAGTCTCTGCAGTTATCATACAATATAAGTATAGCTGGCAGTACATTACACTAAAAGATAATTTAGAAGGGAAATTTAATGTCATGTATTGATCCACGTCATCATATCATCTAGAAGTGTTTTGAATAGAGCTCTGTGTGGAAGAAAGAAAGGCAAGTACGGTGAAGACACTGTACCACTGGAGATGCTCTTGGAAGATTCATACACCAAACTAAGTCTATGGTCTGTTTATATGCTTGTGATCATCTTCTGTACCAAGAAAAAGTCTGGAAGGTAAAATTTGCAATGTGTAGTCTGAAGGCCATCAGTCATTTTCCAAGAGAGAGAGAGAGAGAGAGAGAGAACAAAAGCTATGCAGAAGGTAGACCAGGCTTGACAGTTGCTTGATGCTGATCTACTTTCTTCATAACTCTGCTGAATTTATATTAACTTTCAAATGAGCCCAATGCATACCCCAGAGTGATTTAATTAACAGACACATTTTTCTCTGCCAAAAAAAAAATTACTTAAAAATGTAACTTCAGGTCTATTTGTAAAGGCATACCTGTGTCTCCATCACTTAATTTGTTCATAACAATGAAGCCAACATAATTTTAATCAACTTTATGACTTGTTTGAGTCCCTGGAGGGAATGGAATCTGTTTGTTTAGTCTCTGAACCATGTTGGTACTTCTTATGGTTTTAAACATTACTATTAATAAACTTGAGAGAATATGTTAAGTGGAGATACATTCCTTTATCTCTCTCCTCCTAGCAATGCAGCAAAAAAGCCTCTGCCTCTCTCATGTGGCTTTTGAAGTCATCCAGCATCATTGCAAATCGTCCCTGGCCACGGGTCTCCCTCACGATCATCACAACAGCCATCATCCTAACCATGGCTGTGTTCAACATGGTAAGTAAGTCCCGGGGTGGGTCGGGACTCCAGTCAGGCAGGGCACACCTGCTTTCTGTGTTCTGGATTGAGGCAGGTTTGAAAACTTGCCCAAAACTGGGTTGCCCAGTTTTGCCCAGTTTGCCCAGTTGCCCAAAGACTGATCTTATGAATGCAGCATCTCACAGCAGCAACGTGGTTTGTCTAACTTTGAAAAGGAAGTGTTTGCATGAGCCACTTTAAAGCACGTCCCCACTTACTTGCTCGTGATGGCTCTCAGCAAGCTTCAGAAATAACAAGCACTGTCACCAGGGCGGGCATGAAAAGCATCAGTCAGTGGGTAAGTGGAGAGGCTGGAAGGCCCAATTGCAAACCCCAGCTCCTGCTGGAAGAGGTTTGGAAGAGGTTTTCATTAATGTCACAGGCATCCATTTCCACATCTCAACACGAGAGTCAACTTCTGTGGTAGGGTGGTTCTGAAACTCAGCTGAATAAGATCCCTACCACACTTGGGACAGACAGACGGGACACTTCATAACTATGGGACCAACGACCACTCCTCTCACACCCATGTCATTGTTCCTGCAATGCCCACCAAATAAACCTCTACCCATTAATGACCTGGAGCCATCTCCTTGTAACTCCTGTCACCTTGTATTCTCCTGTCACCAGCAGCAGAATGAATCTTGGCATGTGAATGTTGCAGATACTGCTGGTGCTTGGAAATTCACAGAACCATCTAATCTGGATGAGGTGACCAGACAGTCATAACTTCATAATGATAAATATCTTCCTGACATAGATTTCCCACTGCATAAATGTGAGGCATCTAGACCCCTGAGTCACGTTGTGCCTTCCAGGAGTTCGTGGTAGACTGGCAGCTGAGTAAGCCATCCTGAAACACAGTAGGGCAGCAGTGAATGCACACAGAGGGACTGGGGTGGCTGGTAAAAGCCTACCAGGCAGAAATCATCGCTTAAATACAGATACAGGTTGATGCATCGCAACAATGAGATGTACAAGACGCCATGTCAAAAAACCAACTTTACCATTTAGGCGTGGGGGGGGCATGGGGAGGGATATAGTTGTGGAAAAGGGAGGGAAGGGATGGTAGGGGAAAAACAGGAGGAGGAAACAATGCTTGATAAGAAATGTATTCATTACCTTGCTCATGTGATTGTAACCCCGCTGTACAGTATTTTCACAATAAAAAAAACATTAAAAAAAAGATGGAGGGGTGACCCTTGGATCTAGGAGGAGAGTGGAAATGTATGTTGAGAATCAGTGAAGCACAAGGCTGGGGAGTGGATAGACATGTTTGCACAAGATCAGGTCTCAAGGTCCTCTCATAGACCACAGTTTCCCACACCCCTGGGATTCAGGGGTGGGTGTGGCTGAGCAACTGGAGCCCTGACAAGCTGGGCCCAAGCTGCAGGGGGGGAGGGCACTCCCAGAATGCCTGGCCCTGATTAGGAATGGAACCTGCAACCTCCTAAGACGGCGTCAGAGCAGTGCGGCGCAGCCTCCTGCTCCCTGAGATGTCGTGGAGGTTTGAGGCACAGGCAGGCAAAGGACACTGTGAAACTGTACAAATATGAAGGAAGTGAGTTTCCTTAGATGGGGCTTTTCATGTGCAATGCAGTGCCCTGTGTATGTGCGTTAGTCCCACCACCCCAGAGCCGGCTTCCCGGGAGACACACTGCTGAGAGCCAAAGCATTCAGGTAGATGAAGGCTGCAGGAGTAGCCGAGCAGTAAAATCCATTGAGGAGGAGGGGCAGAGAAGCAGTGACTCAAGACAGGGACTGTGAGCCCTTCTCACAGCCTTAGAGGCCGGTGTTCAGTTACTGTTAGGATGCGTGACTGCTGCAAAACCCTAAGAATACACCAAATACTCCTCCTCCTCGCTCACCTGTGCTCACCTGTACACGCACAGAGAGGGCCAGTGCGCTTCCTGGGAGCTGACCTTCCCCACCGGCCAACAGCCAATAGGAAGCCAAACAGCCTCCCTCCCTCCACCCCTTCTCACCTCCCACCCTCTTTCTTTTCCCTCCCTTCTCTCCCTTCCTTCCTCCTCCCCTTCCTCTTTCCCTCTTTGCTTATTCCTTACTTCTTTCCTCCCTCCCTCCCCCTTCCTCTTTCCCATTCCTCCCTCCCTCTTTTCTTGTTTTCTTCCTTCTCCTTCCTCCTTCCTTCTTTCCTCCTTCCTTCCCTCCCTCGCTGGGGCATAGGGCCAAGGTGGTGAGCTTCATTTTCTTCCATTCAGCTGGGGAAGAAACCACCTCCTGCTGGAGTGACAGCAGCCCAGCTTCCCCTGAACGTAGTCAAATAACTGCCTGTGCTGTCTGTCTGCTTTACCCACACCTACTTCCGCTTGTGGTTGCAATGAGGTGTGGATTCACGCCTCCTATGAAGAACAGTCATTCTTTGTGTTGGGTGGAAGTTTGGTATGTGTATGCACCTTCTTTGTTTACATCATTGGGAAGAAAATGAAGTCCCCAAACTGCATTTTTCTGTTTCAGGTCATAGCCTAATTCCAGTCTTCATGCGTAGCCCCTGTGGTTGTAAAGTGTTTTTTATTAGGATAAATCATAGATACTTAAATTTTATTTCTTTATTTCCCTTTTTAAAAAAATATTATTTGTGTTATGCAAAAGAAGTTATCTAAAAGGCTTTTTTTAGCCATTTTGAGAGCACAGATTAGTGTCATTAAGGACATTTCCAGTGCTATGACATCATCCCTACCCATCTCCAGAACTTAGTCATCTCAAACACTCTGAGCACCACTAATGCCCCGCAGCCCCTTCCCCAGCCCTTGGTTGCTGGCATTCTCTGTTCCCATGAGCGGGTCCATTCTAAGTGTCTTCTATCAGTGGAAGGCCATTGTAATTGTTCTTTTGTGTCTGGTTTGTCTCACATTTTTGTCTGTGCTGGTAGCTCTCATTTCGTACTGACGCTACAGCCCGGAGCCTGGGCTTGTGCGGCGATGACAGGCAGCCCTGATTCATGGCTCCTCTAACGTAGCCTGCCCTCCCCTTGTTTACCTCACAGGGGACAGATGTTTGGGCATAATTTGAGAGGGCTTGAGGCTGTTGCTGACCAGTGTCTGCTGTTGACTATTGAGATGAGCCAGTTCACACCAGGTCCAGCACTGATTCCTCTTCACGGGTGTTGTTGCTGAGCCTGTATATCCACAGTGCTGATCAGAACAGGCTCAGTAGGGACAGTGTGTTCAAGGAATGGGCTTGTCAAGCTCTTGTTTTGCGCTGATATTGAGTAACAAAACATGCAGGTCCATTGACGTAAATTGAATTGGGAGATTGTACTGGACTATTTTAAACATTTGGTGTTCATCTGTGTGACCACAAATACCTTCATAACAAATGAACACAGTGCCCTGTATTGTCTCAATTATAGGAATGTTGTGGTATCAAATTGTAAAGAACCCTTCTTTTGTTCAGTTTCATTCCCAGCAGACTATGTAGTCACACGTGAGCACCCGGACAGGAATGCTGTGGTTTACTCTGAACTTGACCACATTATCATGTGACAACTCACATCAAATCTGAGAAACTTACAAGAGATTTAGTATGAATAAGTTATAACAACTTGTGAGCCTCACAGACAAGAAGTTATCAGTAGTTCGTCCCTAATCAATCTGGACTTCAGATTCCAATTAAAAGACAAATGCAGCAATATTATCAGGTGTAAATATCATGGTAAACAGTGTGTTCACAGTATGCCAAATAAAAGTGTTTCTATGTGCTCACCTTATTTGAGAAGCATTAATTCCAGTATGGGGACTGCAAAATTAGGAAGCGATTTTGCAGTGTTCTTTAGGATTTTGTGAAGCTCTGTTGTTCATTGTCTAATTATTTCCAAGGATTTAGAACTTATTATGAAGTGCAGTTCCTCTAAATAATTATGATTGTGGAGATTCCTTCTACAGAGAAGTTGAAGCAGTATATCTGAAAGGAGGATAGGGAATTCAAACACTTGCTTGATTGGGGTATACTTAATAGATACTAGAAAGGGAGCCAAAGAGCTAGGGGTGTGGTCATGCCCATGGTGATTACAGGTTTCTACTTTACATATTTGCAACATCATATGTATTTATGTCACCGTGTGTGTGTGTGTGTGTGTGTGTGTGTGTGTGTGTGTCTGTGTGTGTGTGTGTGTGTGTGGTTTCTTTGTGTTTGTTTTCTGTGTGTGTTGGTTTCTTGGTGTTTGTGTTTGGTGAGACTGAGGATTGTACTCATTGAACTCATGACTTCTTGATTGTCAGGCATGTGCTCTACCCCCAGAGCCACACCCCCAATCCCTTTTGACATTGGTTGTTTTCAAGAGAGGGTCTCCCTTTATGCCTCGGCTGGCAGGGGCTCCAATCCTCCTACTTGTGCTTGCCTATGTTGGGGAGGACAGACAAGTGCCAGTATACCAAGGTGTTGTACTTCTCCTAGAGCTGAAAAAGTAGGCACACACCGCTACACCCAGCCAGCAATTGAAAGGGAGTCCCAGGAACTTTTATGCCTAGCCGGGGCTTAACCTGACTTCTCAATCTCCATCTGCAAAGTAGCTAAGATTACAGGCGTGAACCACCACATCTGGCCTTACCGCACCCTTGTAAAGACGTATTTTTTCTCATACAGGGGAGCATAATGCCCCCTGCTATGTACTGGCTGGCCAGTGTGGCCATGTTATCAAAGACTTTTCATCAGTTATTTTTAGACCATGGTACCGGAAAGTAAACTTTGTGATAGCATTGTAGGCTCTCTTTTTTTGGTGTTTTTTGGTCATTCCTTGGTTCTTAGTGTTTAAGTCAATTGAATTTAGGGTTGGTCAAATCTAACTTTGTGAAGTTTTAGAGCCCAGTATTATTTGCTAAGTAATCACGCTATTCATTTTTTACTGACATATTTTTTCTCAAGGATTAGAAAATTAAGATTGTAATATATAATTTAGCACTAAATAAAGAAATCTCTTCCTCCAACCTTCTTTGACTTTTAAATCAATATTTTGCTGGGTTTTATCAAATTACATAATAAGGAAAAATATTATATCTAGTACCACTTGTAAAACAGAAGAGTCATGTATGCAGAAATATGCCAAATATCTTCCTGCCTACTAAGTAAATTAATCTAGATGTTTGACAAGAGTCATAATGTCAAAGGTAATAAATCAAGACAAAGAAAAGCACCCGCAGAAAAAGCAACTGCAGGAATTATATCAAAATTCGTTCTACTTTTAAAACTGTGAATGTTTCCCCCATGCAGACAATACAGTCTAGACTTAACAGACACAGTGAATTTCTTCACGAAAGAGGATCTGGTCCAAATCATGATTCTGTGATTGATCTTTCCAGAACCCTCAACAACTTGGTCTTTAGTCACTAAAACAGTCTGTGTCTCATGTTGAAAGGGCAGAGAAAGAGGTGGAGAGAAGGAGAAGAGATAAAGAAGAAAAAAGGAAAAGATAGAGACGGAGACAGAATGAGAGGGGGGGGGAAGAGACAGGTATAAGAAAGAAAAAGAGAGCTGTTCTTATTCCTACCACTTTTCTACAGTACAGAGGATATCCATTACAAATCAGCAGTCCTCAGGATCTGAGTCACTGGGTGTTCACAATAATAGAAACAAGTAGAGTTGGTGATTACCTTTTCCCCATAAAATCAATTTCCTTCCTTAAACTCATGTAAACATATTGACTTATTAATTATTTGAACCACGATAGAAAACACATTGAAATAAAAAACGAAGAGCTGGGCGCCAGTGGCTCACACCTGTAATCCTAGCTACTCAGGAGGCTGAGATCTGAGGATCACAGTTCAAAGCAGGAAACTCTGCGAGATGCTTATCTCCAATAAACCACTCAGAAAACTGGAAATGGCGCTGTGGCTCAAGTGGTAGGTTGGTCGCCTTGAGCTGAAGATCTGAGGGACAGAGTTCAAACCCCACGACTGACAAAAAAAAAAGACAACCATATTGAAAGCCCTGTTTCTGTGGGTGCATTCAGTGTCTGGAAACAGAGTGAGGTATATGATACTGCTGATTCTGTTTTGGTTAGCATCAATCTTGAAGCCCAGAAACTCCCTCCTGAAAGCAGAACGTTACGATATCTATTTAGTTATTGAATAGAATTTACCCAGGCTTCGGAACGCTGGACGCACTGACAGTTCCCAGACACGGGGCTATGCTGACTCCCAGTGCTACTCACTACCTGTGAGGACAGTAAACGCAGCTCCAGCCTGGTACTTGTTTCCTCTGCTTTTGCACCCATTTCACTAAGAAAAGACACATTTTTCTTTGCAGTTTTTCCTGAGTGACTCGGAGGAAACGGTTCCTCCCACTGCCAACACCACAAACTCAAGTTTTTCTGCCTCAAATAACCAAGCAGCCATTCTGCGTGCACAAAACTTGTTTTTCCTTCCGGTAAGAATGTCACACTCGTTGCTGTATTTGTCATTTTCCAGAATGCTATTGTCTATGCAGCTTATGTTGCAGATTCGGTCTGTGGTTTGCTTTAGAATTTCATTTTATTGTTGTTAGGGCCCCCCACTTTTTTTCAGTTCTTTGGTAGGTCTTGAGTTATAAACTCTAACCACCACCACTGTCTGCCAACTTGTGAAGCCAGTTTAACACTATCTCTGCCACCGCCACCGCCTCCTTGTGCCTTGCCATAGTACATTCATGGTTATGTCACTTCGTCTCTATGTCTGGTTGATTATAGATGTTACTAATGGTTCTGTGAATTAAGATTATTCACTGATACTATGGAGATGGAGGCAGAATCTGTGTCACTTATTTCTGCTCCCCGGTGATTCTGTCCTTCAGTAATTCTTAAGGACATTTTGACCCATTTTAATCAGTGTCACAAAAGATCTAGAAATTTTTCAAGTCTTCTTAACACATGAAGTCTTATTAGTATAAATGTTACATCTGCTATTTATAATTTCTTTCACACATTATTCATGAAAAGAAAAAAAAAACAGTGTTTGAACATTTCCCATTCTTGACCAGTCCTCTTAAGGTAACAGAGGTCTTATCCATTTAATTTTTATCTCCAATAGTCAATTTACAGAATGCTCAGTGACTGCTACAAACTGAAATGAATTCATTTTATACATGTGTTTTCAAAATTTCCAAGCAGTATTTTAATCCATCAGCATAACAATAAATTTTACTTCTGCCAGCTTATTGAACTGATTGGTTCCCTGATGTTTTCCTTTCCTCCTCTTCTCCCCCTTCTCATCGTTCTCCTTTCCCGGGAGCTTACCCCTCTGTGTGCCATCACAGTGAACTGAGGAGTTCTTTCAAGATTCCAGAAGCATGACCATGTCCCCAAGGACAAGGAAGACAGGGGACCGTGGGCATTAACTTTTATCCCCAGGGTTCTGGTCTTCAGATGAAGTCTCCTCCTAAGTCCTCGTGAGAATTAGCCATGGTCTTCTCCACCTATGTCATTGAGTTCTCCAGAATGGTTTACTGGCTTGCATCTTCCTGTGTGGATTTGGGAGCCCTCTCTGTTGGGGGATAACTAAATTTGCTGTATGATTTGCCTCCTCCTCCTCCTCTTTGAGTCATGATATTAGAACTGGACAAGAATTCACACCTAACACGTGAAATCCTAGGTAAATTACATTGATATGAAATACATTGATATGCATTTCAAACTAGGGCACTGTGAGAACCTGAATAAACAACCTTCAATCCCCCGGTCTCCTGGACCCCTCCCAAATATACACACACAGACACCGCCGCCATGTAAGTGGTTTTTTTATGTTGTCTTCTCTCCCAGTGGGGCAACACTGGTTATGACGGCTAACTTTTGAAGAACACCAGCAGATTCCACGTGCATTTGAGCCGAAACCCCTTTGACAAAAGCGGAAGCTTAGGAGGAGTGCCAGTGTACAGCAGTAAAAGAGTTGTTATCCTGAAAGTGCTGAATGTCAGCCTTTAGGGTGCTGGTCCAGATTGACCGAGTGACACCGAGTCAGTGAGCAACAGAAGCAGGATTGGGCTAGGGCTATCCTCAGCCCATCTGTGCGGTAGATCAGGGGAGCACACGTACCCCAGCTTCCGCTGGACTAAGCTGGGACGTGCTAGGGCTATATGGGACATGCCACATTTCCAGAGTCTTCTGGCATTTGTCCAGCTTCCAGGGCACTCATGGTCCACCCTGGCCCAGGCTTATAGTTTAAATCCATTCCATCTCAAATGCTGTGACATGCAGTTTCTCTTTTAATTAAAAGTCTACGATTTCTTATGCTTTTCACAGATTTATCTACAATGATTTATATCCTTTTCATGTATTAAAAAATTGGAAGGCCAAAATGTTCCAAGTACTGACTTAAAAAAATTATAAATGTATCAGAGGGTCACACCATTTTCATTTTTGAGAGATACATGATGCTTGTTTATGAAATCTATGCGATGTAGGGTTTTTTTAACTTTGTATCTGGAAAGCATTTGGCATTGTATATGTTTATTTTTACTTCTCCTGCCAGACTGGATCAGAAAGGCACAGAGATGAGTCATTCACACAAATCAAATGTACTCAGGCATTTTCTGCTGGATCAGAGGGTAGACCCAGGCATCTGCTTTCCCAGACAGCTTAAAGAGATCTTCAAGGTCTGTCTCTCTTATTTCCCTGCCACAGTACTTCATATACAGCTGCATTCTGGGCTTGATCTCCTGCTCAGTTTTCCTGCGAGTGAATTACGAGTTGAAAATGTTGATCATGATGCTAGCGTTGCTGGGCTACAACACCATCCTGCTCCACACCCATGCCCACACCCTTGATGCCTACAGCCAGGTCTTGTTTGAGAGGTGAGCAACCGTCTCCCCTTCTCCTTTTTGCTTTGGTTCTTTCATGTTGATGAGATAGTGAGTGTGTACTGAGTGTGGAGAAGCAAGTCCATGGTCGCTAGTGATTGTGAAGGGAGTTTCTTTAAAGTGATGGTTCTGAAAGATGATGAGTGTTTTGTGATTGATAACAGAATATGGGTCATCAAAGGTATTTGGAAGATATGATTTAGAGAAAAGCCTTGTATCATAATACCTGAAAAATATGTGTATATAATAAATACACATATATAGAGAGAAAGAGGGAGAAATACATATATATAGAGAGAGAGAAGAACATACATATGTATAAATACACACACACATATATGTGTATATATGTGTGTGTGTGTGTGTGTGTGTGTGTGTGTACATGGGGTGGTCTCACTCTGTTGCTTAGTGTAGACTTGAACTCTGTTATTTGGTCATTTGGGTAGCTGGCACTGCAGGTATGCACAACCACTGGCCTAATGTGAACTATATTGACAAAAGCAATCCAAGGTTTTCTGCTCCAATCTTGTTGGCATTTTGGATTGAATCATTCCTGTTTGAGGGACTGTCCTGCCCATCGTAGGGAGTTTGATTACACACCAGTGACCCTTACCCACCACTTGCCAGTCCCAGTCCCAGTACTCCAGCTCACAGCACCCCAGAAACCGCAACATCACCCAGGAGGGTAAAGCAGTCTCCAGCTCAGAACAATACTTAGAAAAAAATACAGTTATATTCAGTTATATTGATGGTGTTCAGGTTAGTAAAGATTTCTTAATTACTGTTGTGGAAAGGGCAGAAGTGAAGAGCCTCAAAAAATCTTTGGAATACGAAGCTCATGAGCAGAATCGTGCTGGGATACGGTTGTAGAAAAACTTGTCTGTTATCAAATTCCTTCCATAGGCTTATAAGAAATATCATATCCCCTGCTTGAAGAACAATGTTTTAATCATTTTATGATGCTCTCCCTTTCACAACTCAGTAACAGAATATTCTACATCAAGCCTGAAATGTGTGTATGGACCCCCAGCCTCAGGGTATTTGCTTTGCATTCTCCTCCAAATTATTTTCTTTTTTTTTCGGTGGTGGGGCTTGAACTCTGGGCCTGGGCGATGTCCCTCAGCTCTTCAGCTCAAGGTGAACGCTCTACCACTTGAGCTACAGCGCCACTTCCGGTTTTCTGGTGGTTTATTGGAGATAGGAGTCTCATGGTCTCTCCTGCCCGGGCTGGCTTTGAACCTCGATCCTCAGATCTCAGCCTCCTGAGTAGCTAGGATTACAGGCGTGAGCCACCAGCGCCCGGCCTCCAAATTATTTTCTATTTCCTTCCTGGAGCATAAAGAAAATGTCTCAACTATTGGCATCCATTTGTTGCTCTGGAAGTTGAAGAAGGCAGTCACTATACTGATGACTTCTTGCCAGTATAAAACACTTCCAGAAATGCAACCTCAGCAACCCTCCCCGCCATGCTTAATTGTCATCCTCTAGATGGTGAAACCCCAATCATCTGTAATCAAGCTTATAGCAGTAGAGATGCAAATTGCATAATTGCATTAAGCAGATTTTATGATTCCTTACTCATGGTGAGAGTGAAAGCCAAAGTTAATTTTCCTATAAATTCTCAAAATCTCCAGCCAAGTATACTTCAACATTTGTCAGAACCTGTATCATATTCCTAAACAGACGTGGCACTGCCGATTTCTACACTTGGTGGGTGACGCCTGTACATTTCCCTTTATTACATTTGAAGTGCTGGTGTCCATCACACAGGGGAAGTGAAAGAAACTGTGAGGCCTGCCAGGTTTGGGCAGAGGATTATTTCTATGGACTTCAGCAAGAGACTGCCAGGTTCTTTGTGGACCCCGCTGTGCAGTTACTTGGGAAAGACAACGGCATTTAGCTTTGGGAGCCCTTTCCTTTCATGTCAGTCTTGTTTGTGTGTTCTCCCTTCGTTTGGTTTTACCATGACTCGAAGCCTAGGAAAGGTTGAGAGAGAGCCTGGGTGCTCCATCTCCACTTCCACCACCAAATCCAGCATCTTCTCCAGGGAAGCACCAGTTTCTTTCCCTAACCTCATTCAGGAGGTTCTGGCACAATCCCTGCCCTGCGCCAGCATTACCAAACGTGTCCCTTTGCTGTAAGAGCCCAGACGCAATGGCACAAGAGCAAACTCATCTCATGTAACGCAAGCTCCCAGGCCACGCTCGGTGAAAGAGCTGGAGAGCAGGAGCTCATGGTCACTTGAGTTCTCAAGCCTTGGTACCTGTTGGATACAACACGATGACTCATGCCAGATGCAAAGCCACAGCCAGCATTGCTCTTTCCTGAGAGTCAAGAACGCTGTCAAATAATGATTAAGGATCTTTGCGATGAGAGTAAGATGTTTATAGCACCATGGTCTGGCCTGGGGCCTGGAGAGTGAATGTTGCGGAATCCTGGAGCTGGACATGCCCTTCAGATGCCCTTCACGGAGGAGGCTGTTCAGAAGACAGCTGGACAGCACCTGTTTTCTTTTGGAGCTGGTCTCTGGCACTGCCGCCCAGCACTTACCCCTGTTCCTTTGCTGGCCTGTTGCTGAGCACCATATCTTCATCCTTTCCCATGGCTGGTTTCCTGCTTCTTGCTCTGGTCTTTCTGGGACTCATGCTTAGCTGTGAAGGTCAATCTTCTTGCTACTCACTGAGCCTTGGATGTGTGCCTCCTTGGTGGTGAATACACTCAGAGAACCTAACTCCAGCCCTTGCCTCCTGCTGGATACCCGGCACTGAGCTGCCCTGTGTTGTTGATACAACTCTAGAAAGGTAGAAAGTTTCCAAGGACTGATCCTAGATGAATCAGACATGGCCTTTCTGCCTTGTTGGTGCTTTCCATTTCTGTCTCTGACTCTGTCTCTCCTCCCTGTCCCCTCCACTGACTTTAACTCATCTCTCAAGAGAAGCAACGTAAGACCTGAACTCAATGGCACTGCCATGTTTATGGAACCTACAGCAGTGCTTGTCACGTAGTACATGCTCAGTAATCATCCATTCCATGAGTGAATAAAAGCTTCCAGACATGCCGACGGTTGTCAATCTCTCCTCTCATCCACTTCCTTGAAAAGAGCACAGCTCCCGATCCTTCAGGATGTGTCTCATCATTACCCACGGCAGTTTTTGTTTACCTTCTTGAGTTTTGAAAAGAAACTTTCACAAGAGCGTGTCCACGTGGAGGTGTCCACGTGGAGTCAATGCCAGCACGCGACCACACAGTTGGAGAGGTGTGGCTTTCTCACACGAGCTCATGCTGGCCTCTGTGGCAGGGACCTTATAAACTGAATTGGTTCTTGATCATGGATGAGCCAGCAAGGCAGTTCTCTTGTCAATAGAGTTACCAAGGCACTAGGCAAACTTCAGATCAATGAATAGCTCAGAAAAGGACACCCAAGAATATTTTTACAGATTCATAAACATAGAAAGCAGATTTTTTTCTGGAGACAAAGGACAAAAAACAACCCACGGGAGAGTGTGCCAATAAAACCCAATTCTGTTGTAGGTCAGAGCGTTCCAGTACCTAACCTCACTGCCATGTAGGATCCTGATACATGGCTTCATGTGATGGAAGAACGGGAGCTTGGTGTTTGGAAGGTCCAGACAGGCCGTTTCTGTAATTCTTAGGTGTTTATAGCAGGCTTCCGTATCATCTGCGAGATGTTTTGCTGAGCCCATCGTATGTCCCAGTTCTGACCCAGGACATTCTCCTCCCCAGCCACAGCCAGAGCTCTGGGGGCTGCTGAGCTCCTCTTACAATGACACTGACGTGAGGACAGCAGTCGAAGTGTTTTGTCCTCACCCACACTTCTTATTTCATATGAACTCATCTGAGGCTAGAATTAGACCCTTAGTTCCAAAGATTCCTGGAAGAGAAGAGCCCGCTAGGAGCTCCATGCTCCAACCCATGCTGGCAGAATAAAGCACATGCTGTGCAGAGAGCACACGGGCACCATGCTGAGGCAGAATTCACATCCAGAGTGTAGCATCCTCTGGCATCTCGGGATGACAGGGAGAAATGCGACTTGAGACCCAAGCGTTGAACTTCGAGAACTGTCCTGCTCTCCCTTAGAAACTCTGACGTCTTAAGTTTGAGCTATTGTGGTATATTTTGACCAACTTTGCATTGAGTGGCGATGGACTAAGGGAGAGTCAGGAAAGCACTGTAGAATTCGTCGCTTTCAGGAAAGGAGCTAAGGGTCACTGCACATCTGTCCATCTGTAGATGTTGCTGGATTTCTTGGCACACCTGGCATCTCTTGAAGCTCTCCCCTTTAAATTAATAATGATTTCAAACGCTGCATCTCCTGTGATACATTGGAGTTAATGTTGAAATGTCTTGAGTATCTCAGCTCTCCCAATCCTTCCTGTTTGCTCCCTCTGCCAAAAGCACGGAGCATGTTTTTCTGTGTCTGACCCCTGCCAGCAGGGCAGCAGGGCTGGAGGAAATCGCAGCTGCCTACCTTTGACAGTGAAACACGTGGACTCGGGGTTAGCTAGGTTCTATCACGCTTTCTTCTTTCCTTCCATAGAAAGCAGCCATCAGTAATCTATTTCCTTTTTCTGACTAGAATAGCATCATCTATAAGAAATCATTCTATTTTTAAGGCTGTGTTGCTTTGTTTGATTTAGGGCTAGAGGTAATAATGGATTATACAGAACCTGACTTGCACAGAGTCATGAATTCTGACCATCCACTGCCCCAAGCCCAGCCTCGTGAATCAAAGAGCCTCTTTACCGCTGTAGCAAAGGGCCCGCTAGCACTGCCCGCACAGCCGGCACAGCCTCGCACAACCCCGCACAGCCCCGCACAGCCCCGCACAGCCTGCAACAGCCCCGCACAGCCCCGCACAGTCCGCACCGCCTGCACAGCCCGCAACAGCCCCGCACAGCCCCTCACAGCCTCACACAGCCCACACAGCCCGCACAGCCCCACACAGCCC